AAATGTCAGCTGAGTAAATCACTGTGTAGTAGTTGCATTTGCCCAATGTATCAACTAGACATGGCTTAAACCCGGGCCGCGTCACGACCCAGCCCGGCCCGCCGGGTTGCCAGGCTCGAAAACACTGACCCTGAACCTGAACAGGCACGAACGTATACTCGTGCCGGGTCTGTGTCCGGGTCGGGTCCGTGCTTTTTTTAAAAGAAAGTATAAAAATATAAAAAAAGGAAAAATTGAAAAGAAGGGTCATCGACCCGGCCCGACCTTGACCCTCCGGGCCGAGTCATGAAATGAATGACCCTTACACGGCCCATCTGAAATCTGGGCCGGTCACGGACCTGTGGTCAACGGGTTTGACCGGGTCGAGTGGGTCGGCGGGCCGGGCAACCCTTTGGCCATGTCTAGTATCGACACTAGATATGCCTCTATGTTATTATGGGCAAAAAATTTCAAAAGTTTTTATAACCAACTAGTGTGTATCCCGTGCAATGCACGGATAGGCTTATTAATTAAAATTTTTCTTTTACTTTATTTAAATATAATTATTCATATTTAAACATCTCATTATTGATTTCCTAATATGCATCTTTTATAATTAATTACCATGAAAATAAAATAACTAATTAATTGACACAATTGATTCCTATGAAAAATAAGCAACTAATTAATTATCATGCATATTAGACATGACATCCCATAAATAAATATTATGCATATCAGATAAATAATTTGCAAATCCCATAAATAAATATGATGTATATTAAATAATTAGTAGCAATAAACATGAAAATAAATAATCCAGCTATTGTGGCCATTATAATAACAATCCAAGAAAGATATGAAAACTAACAATACAATCCATATTGGAACCGACTTTGCTATCAGTCGAGGACTTCTCACCTGTCACATTCACACGTGCGTAAATTTCTGGGGAAAAAAAACGTAACTTCCTTGCTAAAAATCTCGTCCGTAACTGATCAATCTCGTCTGGAAAAAAGGTCTAGCATAAGAACGTGCAACCGGAGAAATTGCGTGTGATTGATTAAATTAGGAAGTAAATCTATCTCATTAACAACCAAATCGAAGAGATTTCATTATGTGAGATTGATTTAATTAATTGAATTTTAAACTTAAATATATCAATCAAATGCGGGATTTTTCAAATTTTTTGAAAAATATTTATAAAGAAAATTAAGAAGGCCCCACATAATATCAGAGATGTAAAGGACTTTGAATAAAAATATGAAATATCCAAACCTAAGAGTTTAATATTTATTTAGTTATTATTATTAACTTGTCTATAGTTATAATTTTTTTAAAGCATGATATGCAATCATAATGGTTTTAGTTAAAAAGTATCTATTTTATTGTCTAATTTAAAAAAAAAAATAGGAATATTTGAAAATTTACTTACCTTTTGAAATATTTGATTTCAAAACAATGTAGATATTGTAATGATATAATTTATTTGCTACATTTATGGTTTGTAATTAATCTATAATTCTAAATTCTTTTCAAACATATCCAATTTCCAATTTGGTTACTGAAATCAATAGGATTGCAAGAATCCACATAATTTGAAATTGTTTTTGCTATCAATTTGATATATATGTCATACGGCTGATTTCTTTATACACGATCATTTCACACGTTATTTTATCTTAAAAATTATTTACGTAAGATTGGTGATTGACATTGATTGGGAACTTATTGAAATAATATTATTTACGATATTTGTTTATCATTGCAAGAATCCACAAATTATTATTATTATTACAAATTATGATAATTAAAGCGAATGAAAGAACCTCTTCTCAATTATATATAATTGTTAAATTTAGAGTTTAAAAAATCTGGCAGCATTTTATCTAAGCTCTTGGTGCTAAATAGGAAAATTTGTAATTTCGACATTTGTTATTGCAAATACAAAAGAATTTAACAAAAATCATAATACATGACTAAGTTTGCTTTTTATGTTTGACCAAATTTGCGGAAAAGATAAAGTAATTTTACCAGATGACAAACATGAGTTCATGTAAAACTTTATATCTGAATTATGTGAAATATTTTGTCGGTTAATTTTGGTGTTTGACATTGATTGGGAACTTATTGGAGCCAATGTGTAATTTTTCACACGATATTTCAGACGCCCAGTTATGCGTTTCCAAATTTTTTGGAATTTAAAATTTGTTGGATTCTTTATCCATAACTAACTAATTACACGTTTTCAAAATCTAATCCAAATCAAATATTTTGAACTTTTTTGTTAAAGAATTCACCCGCCCAAAATAAGGAAAACATTTAAAAATTTCAAATAAAATTTAGGGGAAAAAAAAAAGGATTTGAGCGGCAAAATAAAAATATTTTTCAAACATTTTTTTCTTAACTGTATTATATAGTAATAGATAACAACCTTTGGATTGGATGAGATGATGTTGTTTGGTACCTGAATAATATTACAATGAATTGCAAAATGTTGGACAGTATTACCAAATTCCGTTGTAGTCTAGTTGGTTAGGATACTCGGCTCTCACCCGAGAGACCCGGGTTCAAGTCCCGGCAACGGAATATCATTTTTTTTTTTCATTTTGTTTTATTTATTTTGCAACTTCTTACAACTGAGACTCGGGTTCGACTCCCACCAACGGAAAGTTTTATATTTTGCAAATTGTGCATTATTTTACAACTGTCATCAATATAGGTGGCGTTGACCCACCTGGCACAATCGCTAGCTTCAATAATATGAACCATGTTGTCAATAAACTAAACACACCATAACTTTTTAATATTTGAATCAAATTTCATTCATGAGTAATTTGGAAAAAAAAATACTAAAATTGTTAGATTATATATGTTTGAATAATGTTCGTTTTTATTAGTTTGTAAACCATTCAAATAAAAATCCGTTTTTAGCTCGTATGTCGAATTGTTAGTTTGAAGTTCAAGTTCATTCGTATTCTAATAATTTAATAAAAAAATTACTAAAATTGTTTTATTAAATCAAGATCAGTTTGTTTGAAATTTTTTGAAAATAAACTTTTTTAGTAGTAAAATCATACTTTAGATTTTTTTTTTCTATTAAAAATAACATACATGTCAAATAAAAAATTTAAAAAATAATGAGATTAAAAGTAATTGCAAACATTCGATAATGTTTGGGAACTAACTTGTGTTTATTCAATTAGCAGACGAATTTTATTTATTTATTTGTTCGAGCACAGTTATATATCAAACATGAATAAACTTTGTACGCAGAACATTCGGTTCGTATACAACTTTAAAACTAATTCAATGACTTCATAGCAAAACTGATCAACTATAACTCCCTGGACCAAGAAAAAAAAACATGTGAAATCAAGAACCAGAAGAAAAAAAGGTCCATTGGGTGCACAAAACCAATGATTTCCAGGGCATGTGATTCCACAGGCATCAGCCATGCAATTTTCTTTGAATAAACAAAATAAAAAAAAAACACGAAAAAGGACATAAATAGAATGTGTGTGCTCGTGGGGCTACAAACGAACCAAGTGGTCCTCGAGCGCTCGAGTCAAAGCTCGATTCGAGCTCGAGTTTGACCGAAATCGAGCTCATATTTTGCCTTGTCGAGCAACTCGAGATACATGTTAAATTACTAAAATATCTCTTATTATATATATTAGTATAGGTGATTAATGATAATTTTACCTTTCCACTTAAAAATTTTCGAGTCGAATTCGAGCCGAGCTCGAGCATTTGATTTCGAGTCGAGCTCGAGCTATTGTATTTTTTTTTATCAAGTCAAGCTCAAGCTCGAGCATCTAAAAAAAAAAAACAAATCAATCCTACTGGAAAAGGCCAGTGCTCGATTCGGCTCGGCTCGTTTGCAGCCCTAGGCTGGACAAAAGCTAAAAGCAGACTAAGAGAAAGGTGACTGTGTTTTTGCACATATGTATGTATGCATGCACCTATATGATTTTGTCTCAATATATATGTCTGAAATTCCCATTTTGTCTCTACACCAATTCATGAATAGATTATTGAGTAACAAATTTTACTAGGGGCAAAACATTCTCTCTGTAACATTTTGTTGTGAAACGGGAACAATACGAATTAACGACGATAAAGTAAATGACACAAGATTTACGTGGTTCGGCAATATGCCTACGTCCACGGCGGAGCAGAGATCTTATTATTATTCACGATATCCCAAATACATCAATACACCATGTATTTATATCATATCCCTACAAAGTATAAATTTACATAAATACCCCGTACCGTACGCGACCGAGCGGAGCGAGCGGAGTTCCGCTCGCAGGCATCGGCCTGCCTCCTTCCTTTGTCAATATATGAGCCATATCAACACATTTCATACATCTTGACCATATAAATGCATCTCCATAAACACATACATATATGGTCAAGATATAGGAGAAATTGCAAATTATGAACATTCATAAAATATAAGTTGCATTTTACTAGGAAAAATTAAGTTACTAAAGATTATTACGCATTGCAAGAAATACTTTACCCATTTTGCTATTTGGATATATACTCCAAGTTTTAGGCCTTATATAAAATCAAAATTTAGCTACTGGTCCTATGCCTGCAAATACATATCTTGTTGAATTTTAGACGTACGAACCTAGCGTACGCGCAGCGAAATTTTAATTTTTTTATACCAACAACGAAGATCCGGCTATAGCTATTCAATATGATCCTAGATCGCGTGAATGAAACACGAAAACTTACAGTTATTCGTCGTTTGTCCTCGACTATGGTATCCACGCAATCCAGTTTCCCGATGCACGATCCAACGCCAATGAATCCCTTCCGGCGAAGAAGCTAGGAATCCTCGATCCAGAAAGCTAGAGAGTGTTCTGTCTTTTGTTGATCTCTCAATCTCTAAGATGTTTGGGATCTCTCAAAGTCTCTCTTATCGATCCAACGGTTAATTATTATGAAGAGATAATGAGATATTTATAATTAGGTCAAAACCTAATTATATGGGCCTTAAGATACCCTACAACCCAATAGGTAATTAGACCTAATCCAATTAATATTTTAATTAAATATAAATCTAATTTAACTTAATTAAATATTTTCCATCAAATAAAAAATTAGCTCATTACTAATTAAGTATAAATCTAATTTAACTTAATTAAATATTTTCTATCAAATAGAATATAATCTCATTACTCATATATAAATATTTCAATCTAATTGAATATTTAACACTCTCGATTCACTCCTAGTCGGAAAACTGATTGCATATTGTGTGACCCTAGAGGCCTTCAGTTATTGTCATAAATCTAATTTATGATCCTTACGAAACTTTTAGACTGCGTCGAAGAAAGAACTCAAAATATGAAGTACGTGTACATGAACAAGCAAACAAACCTTTGGTGTAGAATTCAATAGTATACGGTCCCTTCATTCACAAACCACTCGATTAAGATTAGGACTTGAATGTGTGTCTATCCAAACAGCTTAATCATTTTATCTCATTTCACTTATTGATTTTAATTAATTATATTTGAACACCATTTCAAATATAATCACGTGCATTGGCTAATGCCGCTCGTTGAACTCCACGTCCGCATTTCAAATATTAATTTGAGTGTATACATATTTCTAGAAACAAATATGGCATCCTAATCGTTATGTCTACCTTGTAGCAGCTTTATGGGTCCAAATTTTGCAAGATTTTACTACAAGTCCAAAAGTATAGTTAAAAACACCTAAGGAATTGAGTAATAACAACAGATTCTCCAATATAATTACACCATTAAAGATCCAAATTAGTTAATATTATTACACGGTCGCGTTTACTTCTAATAGGACGTGAAAGTGGAGAAGCTCGGGACTGAATACTTAACTATAAAGGTGACTTGCAAGAAGCACGATAACCTGCTCGTCTCAATCTTGGAGGCCTTCGAAAGATTGAATCTAAAGATCGTGCAGGCGAGAGTTACGTGCAATCTTCTTTTTGGGATGGAAGCCATTGTTGAAGCCAACATTGATGCAACTTTACTGAGTCAAGCTATTGTTGAGGTTATTAAGGCGCCAAATATTGAAAATAAGTGTACATAGTTAATTCGTGGAAATTTTGTGTGTTATGAGTTAGTAAAAGGTCACTTTCATTTTGTGAAGGGAAGGAAAATCATGTGAGTGTTGGTAAAAGGCCTTATTGTAATTTGTAAAAGAAATTAATATTGGTGAAAGTGAACAACAACTTTCATCAAGTCTATTCAAGTAAATTATGGGGTAAAAAACTCTTAAAAGAACTTGGAAAAAAGAATCTCAAAATATGGTGGACAAAAAGTTAAAACATAAATGGTCAATGCAAATGAAAAATCATAAGAACTAAAATTTTTTAGAAGAAAGCAACAACTTTAAAAGTGAAAAACCAATAAATAAATAAAAATAAAGAAAGGTATGTTGTATTCTAACAGACAACTTACATAAATTTAGTTCTTTTTATTTCACTTTGATGGTCCCGCGGGAAGCCGGATACAAATATTCTTGCTGAATTTCAGCCAAACAAATATATGTAAATTGCGTTATAAAATACAATTAAAATTTGTGTATATTTGTGATTAAACCATGTTGGTTTTTCATTTTTGTTTGCTAAAACAGATCGACTATCTCTTTTGTATTCAATTAGATCAATTAACTGCACGAAATTATCACCAAAATTGAAAATTTTAGTTAATATTCTAAGTTTGAATATTATAAGAACTACCATTCTAAAAGAGAAAAAGAATAGAGCTTGTTTAAAACATACATTTTTTTTTTTTTTTGATCGTTTTGTTTAAAACATACATTACTTTGCTTACTTGTTACTCTAGAATTATATAAACTCAAAATGTCTTTTGTTGCTTCAGGAAACACTGGCTTGTAATTTGTAAAGCTTGGGCAAAACCTCAGCCGTCTCGACATGCATATGTCAGTCATAACCTTCTCATGTAATAAGTAGAGTTGTTAAACAAAATGAGTCTCTTTTGAATTTAGCTCGACTCTTTAAGACACGAACTTATCTTGATTTGTTTAATTAATACCCCTTTTAATTTAATTAGTGAGAAAAAGTTTGCCTTACCCAATCAGTTAAACCAAAATCTGTCATAACAAATTAGACAACTAGCAACATCCTTAATTTGTTTGCATGACAGCAAGTTTTCCCTCAGCAATTCAAAGCGACTCTGGTATGCTTTCAATTCAAAGTGAATTGAGCATTGTAAACTGATAATAAGTTACATGGTTTACTATGTAGCTTTGAAAATAGACTGCAAATCAAGTCTAGTCAATCATCACTAAAGGAACAAAGATAGAAAAAAATTGATAAATATGAAGCCAACAGAAGACTTATTCAAACAAACAAAATCCAAGATATCAAACTAAAAGACCAAAACCAACAATCAAACTAAACTGTCAATCATAACCAACAATCCAACTTAAATCATGGCTATTGAATAAGAGAGTCTCAAACAAACAAAATCCAAGACATCAAACTAAAAGACCAAAACCAACAATCAAACCAAACTGTCAATCACAACCAGCAATCAAACTTAAATCATGGCTATTGAATAAGAGAGTCTGGCAAGACGGGCACCGGTTGCAACCCTCCAACCACAAGTAAATGCAACCGGAATGAAAGGTATGCCCACACCTCGGAAGCTTAGATACAACAATACTCAAACTCATATTCCTCGAGCATATACCACACATACCCTCGATTTTATCCACCTTTTCACGCAACCTATTTCTCATGACATAGTGCCGTATGTCGTAGATCTTTGGTGCATACTCCACCGTGGAATAAGTCATTGGCAAGTACGGCAAGGGCACCAAGTATTGGGCCCGGATTACCCGGTCCATCACGGCCTCATTGGACTCCCCCTCTTGTTGGGCCGTGCGTACCTCGAGGCCCACTACCACCAACGAAGCCCAATTAACCTCACGGCAACCCGCATTCTGTCGGGCGAAATCAATGGCCTCGTCAACAAGACGAATGATTTCATCGCGGGTCATCCAGTAATTACGCAGTCGTTCCAATGCCTGGGCATTGAGCAAACACCGGTCAAGTGCACTGTTTTCCAACTCTAAAACTATGGCATAAAAACTCTCCGAGTCCATAAATGTATTGGGGCCAAAAGGCATCCTCGCCAAGATGAAGTTGGTTTTGAACTCAAACACAAAGATTCTATAGCCAGGTTTTAGTTTGGGTGCAATATGAGGATTTGTCTCGTGAGCTTTCACTTTGGATATGAGCTTCGGGTCTATCTTATTCGCGTCCCCCATAGACAGCTGCCAATGATATTCGAACCCAGCTTCACTACCCATCTTCTTACAAAAACTTCCGCTATAAACCAAAGAAGGAAAAAAAAAAGATGTTGGAAAACTTATTTTTCAAACCCCAAATAAGCATTAATTTTCAAATTAAGAACTATCAACGGAGAGAACTTATTTTTGCAGAAGTTAACAATTTTCAAATTAAGTAATTAATTAGACTACTAGGGAAGGAAAACTTCGCCATCAACCGGAAAAAGGGAAGAAAAAAGAAGATGCTGGAAATTTTCAAATAACATGAATACTAGGAACAATTAAATAAACAAAACTTATTTTCAACCACCAAATAAACATTTTTTTATTTTACGAACTTAACAAACTGAAACGAGATATCAAAAAAGGATGCCGGAAAATTTCAAATTAAGAACTGTCAACAGAGAACTTTTTGCAGAAGTTAAACTTTTTTTTTCTTTTGATATAGCAAATCAATTAGAACATAGTATTGAAGATTTACAAAACTCAAATTCAGTCCCAAATAAACGTAGCTTTCTACAACAATTAACGCATTCAAAAGGATGAAAAGGATGTCAGAAAATTATACAACAATGAAATATACATATAACCAAAGATTAACAACCTCTTTGATATAGCAAAATCAACAAACCAATTAGAACAAGGTAATGAATGGTTATAAAGATTTTAGGCATACCTTCAATTTCAGAATTTAGGTAAAAAAAATCTGAGACGGTTTTGTAGAGGATCGTCGATGTTTGGGTTTGTGACCTTATTACACCACCCACAATTTTGTGGCATATAAATTGACTATATGGACAAACATAAATAAATAAAATCCAAAAATTATGCAAAAATAAAATATTAACTCTAGAATAATTATCATTCAATAAAAATGATATAATATTTTTATATAGAGTGACTCGATATATATGTTAATTACTAAAATACCTTATATATATATAGGGTCGCGCTCCGGTGAGAATAACTTTTAATGCGATAAATAAGAATAAATCGTAGTCATCGGATCGGAAGATCTAATGGTTCACAAAAAGCCAAACTTATATCATGGTTAAGGATAATATAGACATTTAATCATACAACAAATATCAACCCATTAGTGGACCCCACCCAAATTAAACCAATTACCCTTCCCCATATCCCACCCGTCATCTACCTCACCCCTCTCTCTCTCTCTCTCTCTCACACACACACACACACTTCACGGGGAGCACAGACACACCGATGGGGTGCACGCCAGCCATCGGCCACTCACGGAGCGCCGCCGCAACCGCCAACCGTGAAGATGCACAGCCTGCCACCGTCGTCCCGTGGGAGAGCCGTCGCCGCCGTCCCGTCGGAGTGCCGCTGCGCAAAGTCCTTAGCCACCACCAGTCGCCTCCGACCGGCACCTCCCACCGGCGCAACACTCAGCCACGCCCACAGCCACCGCTCGATCTCGCCGCCAACAGCCGCTGCTCGCCTTGCCGTCACTGTTTGACTAGGATGATGCGCCGGCGACGTCTCCGCCTTCCCCACAGCCACGTCCTACCGTCCCGACGCCGGAAAACTGATAACAACCACCAAAGATCTGATAGCAAGGGTTGGAGAAGGAATTGATGCACTGCGTGATTTTCAGGATTTTGAGAGAGAAATTTCAAAGGGCGACATTTTGAGAATTAGATAGTACCTAGGGACTTGATTGCAAATTCATAAATTTTTATTAAATGTCAATTTAGTCTTTGGGTCAAATTTGTAATTTGCAAAAACTTTAATAATGTTCAATAAAGTTGAAAATTAGGATTTTGGGGCTTCATTTGNTGATGTACAATTTTGCATTTTATTAATTTCAAGTATTTTTAAATTTAGTTCATGACCAAACATGTAATTTATAGTAACATTAACATAAATGTATATTGATGATAAATAAATTGTACAATGTTTAAAATATTTTAATATGTAAAATGTTAATATATAAAGAAATATCGACATAATAAATATACTTTTATAATAATAGATAATAAAGTATTTCAAGTATTTAGGTTAATTTGATGTACAATTGTATTTACTAATTTTAATTTTCAAAAACACATAATTTATATGGGATTATATAAAGTAGTGCATTTTATGTATCAGTAAGTTGCACTTGATAAAACAATACGTCGCACTTTATAAAATATCATGTTGCACTTTATAAACACAATCCACAATTAAGCTTCCGCGCAAACTACCACACCATAAATCCAAAAAAGCGGATATACATAATATTCTAACATCAATTGCATCATTTATACATACGAATCATAAACATGCCTAACGTACCAAAATTACAGGAATTCACTTTATACATCAAGAAATTGCACTTTATAAAACAACAGGTTGCACTTTATAAGCCGACATGTTGCACTTTACTAATGCATTCCGCAATTAATCTCAACATCTACCGCCAAAAATATTACGTTATATAAATCTAACAATCGGATCTACATAGTTGCACTTTATATATCAATGGCTTGCACTTTATATCTACATACATTGCACTTTATAACACGACATATTACAATTTATAAAACAACACGCTATGCGTACCAAAAAAAATCCGGTAATTCTGCTAATCGATCGAATAATATTAGTATTTTTAGTATTTTTAAACAAATAAAATAACTAAACATGTCGAACTATATGAAAAATTATTACCAATTCTTTTTCAATTATATTTTTTAATAAGAAAACAATAATATTTTTTTATATACATTTTTGTATGTTTTGCGAGTGCACATCATGGTTATACTAATTGCACATAAACGTCTACCAGATTGCACAAAATCGAACGAGATCCAACAAATAAATTCGGTATGAAAATTTATATATTGCTTTAATTATTATTAATATTTTTTTTATAAATCGAGTATTTCGGTACGATATCAATTATTATTATTTATTTAAATAACTAAAGTAAAAACTAAATTATATTAAAAATATTATATTTTATATTTTTGTATAAAAATATTAAGCTATGATTTTTTATTGGAGTATAAAAAATTAATATAGTGCATTTTATGTATTATTGTGTATGGATTAAAATTTTATTATAGTATCAATTTGCCTAATTGTACTCAATTGAAAATATAACAAAATTTCAGAAATTGTAATTAGACCCCAATAATAAATCAAATTCTCACAATTACAACCCCAAACTAAAACAAACAATGTACAGATACTACATCCGGCCAAAATCGCAGTGGTCACCCGGCCAAAGAGGACGTGCGGCGGCGGAGGATGAAATCTGTGGCGGAGGCGGGTCTGTGGCCGGACGGACAACCGGAGGAGATGGTGGATGGAGCAGAGCTGTTGGTTGTTACGGGATGTGGTCCCGGCGAGTTCATGAACGGCGAAGAAGCAATTTGTGACGGAGGCGGGGCTATGGGCGGAGGAGCGGCCGGGTGAGATTGTAGATGGGGCGGAGGAGTCGGTTGGGATGGTTTGTCGTTCCGGCGGTTAATTGACGGCGGAGGCAGATTGCAGATGGGGCGGAGGAGTCGGCAACGGAAACGGCAGCGAAGGGCTTCTACGATGTCGGGCTGTGGCGAATGGTGTGCTGGTGACTGGCGGGCGGTGGTCTGGCGGCGGTGCAGACGCGGTGTGTGTGTGTGTGTGCGTGTGTGTGTGTGTGTGTTTGGACTGTAGATCTGAATCGATCTGTGAAGGAGGAGAAGAATGAAAAGAAAAATAAATATTTAATTTGTGAGTGGGTCCCACATAATAAATGTGTATTGATCAATTTACCCTTAATTATTAGTCAAATGCACATATTTAACCACATTATGATCAAATAATTACTAGATTGCCATTAATGATTGACCATAGTTTGACTCTATCGTAACCATTGATATATTGGATCCAATGATCCAGACTCATTCTCATTTCTCGCATTAAGAGTCATTCTCATATGATCCTTTCTCTATATATATATATATTTTACAATACTATATAACATAGGTGCTTAATGGTAAATTTAATTTTTCATTTAAAAATTTTTGAGTCGAACTCGATCTGAGCTCGAGCATTTGACTTTGAGTCGAGCTCGAACTATTGAAATTTTTTATCAAGTCGAGCTCGAGCTTCATAAATCGAGCTCGGTGAGCTCAAACTCGAGTTCGAGCAATTAAAAAAAAAAGTCAATTTTATTCGATAAGACTAATGTTCGACTAGGCTCGACTCGTTTGGAGCCCTCGAGGATCCACGTGTACACCATACCTGGTAAAACTGAATAAAGTAAAAACAAAGTTGTCGAGACGAAGATCTGTTTTCTAGGGATTTTATTTTCTGGGTTCTATCTCTGTTTCTTCTACGAGGATCTTCAAGTAATTTTCATTAACTGGCTTGTGTAAACCCTTTTGCGCTTTGGTTGTTTTCGCGATTGTTGTAGTTGCGTGTGATCTTTTGGGATATTTTGGAGGTGGGTTTGGTGCTGATCTATGATTTTTTATTTATACATACGAGGTTGTGGGTTTTAGAGTGTTGATTGGCTGGTGTTTCTTTTAGAGATTTTGACTCGTTTATTGGATTATTGTGTGAAGTTTTATGTAAAGTTTGCTCCTTTTTTGACTTGGATTGAGTTGGTCTCTACTGTTACTTGAAAATTGAAATATCTTGCAGTGAGATGGTGTCAACATAGTAAAACATATTTTAAGACTCGCTTAGTTCGATTTAAGAGGGGTTTTAACTTTTAAGTTTAGTCACATGATCCCGCTTGTTTTATTTTCTTCTCTGCATCAGCAAGGGCTGGTTTGAACATAGTAAACCATCTCCTAAGACTTATTTAGTTTGATTTTTGATGGGTTTTAAGTGTACTCACATGAATGTGCTTTTGTATTGGTTTTTTAGTGTTATGGGAATGTAGCTATTTTTCATTGAGTTATTGATTTGTTATGCCCGCTTGTTTTCTTCTCTACATTAGTTGTTTGGTTTTAAAAAAATCAAATATTTGGCTATAGAATTGAATCAACAATGCCTTGGGGATCTCCAAAATATTTCGAGAA